TATTGTCTTGGTATAAGCCATACACTCTGCACGCGACCCTTTAGGGTTGCCTAGCTGCAACGCCATAAATTGATCAAGAAGGTTTTTAATCGGGATTTAGGCCTTACATTAAGATTCTTGGTAAGATCAGCGCCCTGGCAAGCGATAAACAAAGCTTAAAAATTAATCCAACTGAATTGCTTAAAATGGGTGCATATATGGTGTAGCTCACCGTTCGAAGAAAGTGCCTCGACCATCCGTTGCATCGATAATGTTAGTTTTCTTGACAGGACTGGCTGGAGGTGTGCTGTGATGTGAACCGCCGGTAGTCGAGTCAATTTTTTGCTTTTGCTTTAAACCTATGTCGATGTGCCTGCGCACTTTATGTGGGAACGACGCCATGACTTGGATATTCGTGACCCTTGCAAGATTATCGAAAGCACTCTATCGTTCTTACAAGCACCACAAATGATTGATATGATTGGGCCCGTAAAATTAATTGTAGTAACGTCACCCTTTCATATTGCTTTGTAGCTCTTAGTAGGAGAAAAGGTAGCGAGGTTTTTTTATAGTACGGCAGCGTCAATTAATGGCAACGATGCATGACACATGTTGTAGCCATGCATTGCAACCCAATCAATTTCGAAATGTGTGGTTTATTGCTGATTGCAGCGTGAGTTGCATATGTCAGATATAGCAGAGTTTTGTACGACTTAGCTTGATTGCAGACAATATCAAGCTTGCAAAACTACATTAAGTCTTTGATGCACCTCATTCTGATTACAAATCATCTCAAGGCCACAGACTGTGGACGATTGTTCACTGCATTTTATTGTCTCACTTCGCTTTCTCAGGCAAGGTGGTATGTACACTCCTTTTTCACCGGAATTGGTGCAGTGCCAGCATGCGTTCTCAGAACAAAACTTGTGTTCAAGTCTTGCTCTACGACAAAGATATCGATACAATCATAATCGTCAGCGACCTTACTAAGCGTCTAGGCAAATGATGGCTGGTCGATTAGAAAGACCAGCTATTTGAGCTACTAAGTCTAGAGCATTCAGCTTCAGACTTTATTCATCCTTATTATACTGCTGTGGCGGAACTAATTGTACGATAAACGTTGTGTTTTGCGTTCGGTGCCATTTTGGTAATCATCGGTTCGACTAGACGTACCACCGAAAGATAGAAATCGTATTGGGGTTGGACTGCTCACGCTGCACGAAAATCGAGCTTGGCAAATAACGAGATCAACTCGAGCGAAAATGAAGTACATTTTTCTTGTTTACTTTCGAACCAGCACCAAAAAATTCATGTGCAGTAATATTTTGCCACATGCTCTCTGAGATCTTTAGCGAGAGCATTCGATTTACAAGTTAAGATGTCGAATAGTGGGTACATGTTCAAGGCTTTGAGTTGCTGGCATAAACCCTGCAATTTGCATGTCGCTAAGCGTCTGGACTTGCATGTGGTATTACAAACAACAGACATCGCGATAACCGTGGCTTCGAAAACAGCCGTAACATGACGAAAGCAAGGTATAAGTATGTTTTAGCTTGAACATGTCGGCGTTTCAAGTCCTTCGCGCTATTCGATCAAATGAGCGTGATAGCAACCTTAAAACAGCTTGATAATGTTTTTCACCAACCAGCGAGTCGATTGATTGAGTGCAGCAAAAAATTAGCCGTCAATTGTCTCAACAACCTAAAGGAAACAAAAGTTTAATTTTTTCGTGTTATGATAAATTGTGCTCTCCAAGCATTACTTTAACAGAAGTGCTAATATGTTTCTAGGAATTGCACTCTGAGATTGCGTGGCCGGTCAATATGGCAGCGCCAACTGACGACAGCTCAACCAAACCTCATTCTGGAAATGACAACCCAAGCAGATGCTGTCTGGATGATTAAGCTCGACTTCAAATAGACAGCTCAGACGATTGCCATTGCTTCGGGATTCGCTGAATAGGGGTTATCACATTGTAAATTTGTCGAAATGAAGCGCTTACCGGCAATGTGTCAGCGCTAGTATTTAGACTGCAAAATTTGACTGCTATATTCGTATATAATTTTATTTCTTACTGCTATACCAGGACTTTTGAATATGGTTATGAATCGTGATTTAGGCGCCTCGCTCTATCTTGGTTTTCGTGAACGCGTTTAAAAAACTCAGACAGCCGTCACCACAGCATTTCAGTAAATGTTCTCAATTAGACGTGAATTTTCAAATGAAACATGATGGAATTTCAAGACACAATCGCCGAAATACTCTATCTCCTTGTCATCCCAAATTTAGAGAAAAAAACAGTATCTATCATGGTGAGAACTTCTGTCTACCTTCGATGCCAGGTGTTTTTTTTCAATTGCGACTGGTAATCGGCTGTTTCTGGGTACGAACCGTATTGAAGAACCTGGTCCAACCACACCACACCGTTGCTAGACTTGGGAGCTTCATCGACTACTCATTTTTAAATTTCCTGAATATCTCGAGCAAGAATGTTCTCGACAGTCTTGTGTGCCATTGCCTTTTTCAATCTGGCGAATGCCGACAACGGAGTGCAACCTGTGATCAACAAGTTACAGTACGACAAGATCAAGCCGTTCCCTGCCACTGAACGCGATTGCCCCATCAATGAGATCGCTTTAGATTTCCAGCCTATGCTCCGCATTGAGAGCGGCTGTCATCCATACCCTGCCGTGGACGAAAATGGCTACATCAGTGATGGCCTTGGGGTTTCGCATTGGTTCACCGACTGCTTAGGTTCGCCAGAAGGTTCTCAAGTTTATGGTCGTGCTCATGTATATAAGGGGTATTTGGCTATAATGTATGCATGGTACTTCCCAAGAGATTTCATGACCACACCTTTCTATGTTGGTCACCGTCATGGATGGGAGCATGCTATTCTGTGGATCGGAGGTTCATCCGAAGACGCGGTATTGCTTGCGGCATCAGTCGAATCCACGTTGAGCTACGATACGTACAACCCCGTTCCGTCCAAGTACATGAAGGGCGATCATGTCAAGCTCGAATACACTTGGCTGGGTGTGACTCATCACTACTTGACTGCCACGAAAGAATCGGGAGAGTTCCAAGACTTGGTTATGTGGGACAACATGACTGAGAATGCCCATATTTCGCTGAATGAAAAGGTTTCGCTGAACTTCAACTCACCCCTCAGCGACAAGAGATTCTTCAAGGCCCTTCTTAAATCGTACCCGTTTTAGATTCGAACTCGCTTAAGGAAACATCAGATCATCAGATTGCGTATATCTTTAACTTTACAAAATTATATGCTTTTTAGATTAGAAAATAACGAGTTCTTTCATTAGTATGGCCTATCAATAGCTGAAACTTAAAGCGTCAACACGCAAGCCACCGAAAAAATGCTGGTGACAAAGGATGAGTGCCTTAGGTAACGATTCCAAAATCTGCAAATATCGAAACAGCGGTAATCCTTCTAGTTTTTGCTTCGAGCTTTGATATGAGCATCAATATTAAAACCGGCCTTATATCCAATACGAGTGCTTGTTGAGACTTGATTCCGTTGTCAATCGGCACACTTTTGCTGCCGTATCGAAAGACGTCAAAGACAACGTGAAAATACTAACTACGCAATCTCAATCTCCACTGTTTATAGCATTGTTTGTCATTAGTCATTATTTGCAACAATGACTATTTTAATTTATTGTTGACTGGTAAAACCCTTCGTCGTTCAACAAGCCTTAGGCCGTCAGCAAGAATTATCGACTATTTCTTAGCTTCCTACAAATAGTGTACTTACCAACAAACGAACAACAGTGTCAAACGGCTGCTTGTTTATAGAATATGGTAAATTTGATAATGCAAGCAAAATATCTATTTATATGATGTCTTGTAATTTGTATTGGATATGATATATATGTTTTCGTCGATGGGTGTCTGTAGACAAGTGCAGAAATTTCACAACTAAACTTACGCTAGTACATTAAATTATACTATAACGCACAGCTTTATCGGAACTTCGCCGCATTGATGCTGAAATACTACAGTATAATCACAATTTTACCGTTAGTTCTCTCGAAGTACACATGTGGACCTGATAATACTCTGCTGCCCCTCATACTATGAGCGAGGCTTAGAAGCAGCACTATTTTGCCTTGTACTTGCTTCGGATTACAGTGATGTATCTCCCTTATGGAGAGGCCCGTGGGACACGTGATGTAGTAAGTAAGGTATCATTATGATAGATACTAACACTCATATATATAGTTTAGATGAAGAATAATTTTTAAATATGTCGAATATATATTTAGGTACTTGAATTGATCCAAGTAAAGTTCATGTGTAGAACGTACAAACTCAAACTCTGTGCATTACCATTAGGGACTCTTTGAGTCAAAGTAATCTGACTTTGAGGTGTACCTCACTTCTTAAGCACTTGGCGCACTTGCCGTCAATACGACGACCAACTATATTCGCAGTAAGAATGGAAGTTCCTATTTTCGCCTGTCCGCTACACTGACAACTCGACATGCTTTACAAGCTTCCTGATACTGTTAGCTTCGTAGGTTTAGGCAGATGTTTTATTCGCTCGCATCAATGTATTCCTATGGTTTGATACCTCTAGAAATTTTTCATCTTCACGTCGGGTTGGGGCACAAATAAATCAAACAGTGCAATTCCCAAGCGTGCAGCCCGTTACGGGTTGCGGATGGGGACGGCCATGAGATTGGCTATGAGCAATTGTACGGTCCATACCGCGCATGTTGGACACCTTTTGCCGTTTGCTCTTTAGGGGAGGCGTTTCCTACATGGAAGAGTTTGGCGATAGAAGCCACATGAACTTTTTGAGGCAATGAATCCCAGCCAAAAAAGAAGCGATCTGCGGAATTAAATTGTGCCTTTAGCACATGGTACATATGTGGCATGTCAAACACATACGCTTTTCTTGCTGGATTAACAGATGCGGAGGGTCGAGCTTCCAACCTGAGTCGACTAACAGACCCCTTGCAAGGATTGTCTGAGTGCGAGAGGCGCAAGTGGACCCTCTTGTAAAGGACTGAGCTTGGTTGTAGCCCGTAAAGGTCATATTCGTAGATTTTTAGGCCTATCCATAAGGAATGCGAGTCCCTTGATACGAGGTGAGATAAGTTGTTGGCTGATATCCTCAACGTCCCCAAATTGTGAAGCTCTAAAATATAGTTCTGATTGGTTCAGAAGCGTCATGAATCTAATGAAGTCTCGCGACTACTGAAAACGAAAATGCATCAGCTGAGTATAATCAACATGTTCGTAGATCTTTGCAATTCCAAGATGCCAAGAAACTTTTGATACTTTTTTGTAAATCAAGAAGCTTAACAGCACAGAATGCTGCCTGGTTCCAATATTGGAATCGAGACAGTTATAGCGGGGCTGTAACACAATGACCCATGAAACGACCGGAAGTAAGAGATATCAAGCAGCCAATTTTTTCATATAAAAACTTTGCTGAGTTGTGAATCCACATTGTTCAAAGCACTTCGTGTGTCAGCATATAACTGAAAGAATTTTGGTGCCGGACACGGGATTGTCCGAATAGCTGCAATGATTATTGAGAAATACCGTGAACTTACGAAGGTAGACGGGGCATTGAGCGCGGCAATCACATATTGTAGTCATTAAAAGTTCATATCTGACGAGACAAAATTATCGACATTATGATGCGATTTCCAGAGTGTAGACATTTGATTACAGCTGTAAGCTGTGGCTCTTCAGTCTAGTTTATGTAGGACGTTAGAACGACTGTGTGAAGCGTTTACTTGGGCGAGGGTAGGTGGAGACGATAAAGAACAGTGAAAAACTTCTGTGAATTGCAAATACAAAGTTAGGCATTACATTTATCATGAAATATGGTCTGCCACTGTCGAAATATCACGGTGCCGCTAGTTTAGCACCACTATGAGACGCACTAACCGTATGGAGCAAAAAAAGCTCCGCGTGTTAACGTCTAACTGTTTTTTGGCTCCTGAATTGGGATATCAGGGTGGCCTTAGAGAATGTGAATTATCTTACTTTCTACGTTGCAGCTCTCGTTGCGCAAGGAGAGTCACATTCTGTGAGCAATTGACTTGTAAGAAGTAGTAATCACCGCATTGGTTTGCTTGAGACTAAAATCATGGATACTTGTGAATTACTCGGGAGAAATGAACCGCAGTCTCCACTGGTCATATAAGTCTTATATACATTACTATTTCAAGAGACATTATGACGCAATTACGAGAGCCCGATCATGCAAAAAATACCGGATCTAGAGCTGCGTTATGAGATTGTCTTATTTCTGTCAATTAAATATTGCGAAGTTTTTAATGAACAATACCACGATGACGGCGTGAAATGATTATCATATCACTTTATCCATTGCAACGGACAAAGCAGACCTTGTGATAGAGATAAACTATCTGCACTCGTCACCGACTTTCTATGTCAGGATGCAACGAGGCTGCCGTAGCTTTTCCGCTTACAAGACACTAAGCGAAGGTCGATGACTTTCGTTCTATACTTATAACCAGCTCGAGAGTAGCGGATCGCAATCCGCTTACTCCAAGAGTAACCACAATCTAAACTAAGGCAAAAAAACTCTTTCGTTTAAAATCTATACTGTATTTCTTGGTTTCATTGACGGCAAAGCCGCCAATAACTAAATCTGTAGGTTTTCCTGATTAAGTACAATACCTAATTAAATTGCGTAATTACTGGCAGTCCAGCCTCGTAGTGACTCTTGTTACCCCACACCTTTGTGTGGCCAAACCATCTTGTGTGACCCTCTTCTTCATACCAGGGTACGTTTAACTCCGTTATACAAAAGCAAGCACAGAGAGTTGGGTGTGGACATCTTCATGCAAGCTGTGTGCGGGCTTGTGCGCTCAACCAAGCTGTTTACTAACACATACAAGTTTGCCCTGGCGCCGACGGTATCATCGTTCCGAGATGCTGAATAATACTTCGCGGGCTAATCGTGCAAAAAAGAATTGATCATAGATTGACTAGTGGCGTTGTGACGAAGCCTGGCCAGTAACTTACTCAAATACAGTGCAAATTTTGCCGACATTACACCTCCTTCCGCAAACTCTCTTATATTTATGATTAAATAGCTCGAAGATGTGGCTTCTAAACGGTATTAGGCGGCAAAGGCGATTATTTTTTGTGCAAGAAAAGCTCATGCGTGTTCCGATTCTGACCCCCCAAATATCGATTGGCCAGTTGACATTGTCTGTCACGCTTCGTTTTTGTTACCGCCTATGATTTACCCTATTTCTAGCAGAAGACAAAAGTTTGAATGCGTGACCGTGTTATAGTATTTCCAGCTAAAACGGCTACCGAGTATTTACTCCGTTTTTGGCAGTGAGCGATTTTTGACGAAGTACGCGCTTGTCAAGTTTAGAATTCATCAGGGTAGCACTAAGTCATTCATGATCGATCCGTATCACGCGTCGTCGCGCACATCGACGCTGTTACCATATATCTCACATAGTATGGCAAGACGGTTATCCATTGCTTATTCATTACATGAAATCAATAAACCGAATCAAACCGGGCAGTTCACTTTTGTGGCGAACGCACTTCCATGTCGCCCAGCCTGATACGATTGCGCATCAATTAAGCGGCACATATGAAATCGGTAACCTGAAGTAGACCGGGCACTTCGCTTTTGTGGCAAACGCACTTCCATGTCACCCAGCCTGCTACGATTGCGCATCAATTAAGCTGCACATTTAGCGTACGGGTGATTTACACGTGTATGAAGTTGCTGAGAGCTTGCAAAGAAAGAGTTTGTGAGCGTCACCCTCCTTTATCGAAGTACTTGTCCACAATTTGCATCGTATTTTCCAGTCCCCTTATCTGCTGTATCACAGCACCGACTACTTGACACTCAACGCGTCACGGGATCTCATGATGAGGACCTTAAGTTTAGAATACTGTACAAGGCAATCGATTCGCTTTTGTATGGTCATCTCTGGAGCGAAGAGACATATGACTTAGTGATGTCGATAAGCTGGTGGTCTAACATAAATAAATACTGATGTGCGCATGCGTGACATACCCTTTCTACATAATTCGGCACTCTTATCCGGTTAGTCAGTTCCGAAGAAATTGGCAGTCCATTAGCATAAAGTTGGACCTGAGCTAATTTTAACACGCGCATGCAATTATCGGCATTGTGGTGTTTGTGATCATTCGCATTTGCCAGCGACGCTGTATTCGATGAAGAATTAGCCAAGCTATTCCCCGACAGAAATTGTGACTAACATGGCTTCACCGTCTCGGATCTTCTTATGCGCTTGACGGTAATCTTTTTGTAGAACTTTTCTCAAGAGACTCAATAATATATTGAACATGCCCACTCGGGATTTTGATCAGATAGATTACCAAACAAAACACGCTGATCGCGTGTTGGAGATTAATTGCGCAAAGCGACTGCAGGGCCGGAGCGAAAATCCTCAATGTTCTGAGATTCTATTAATGAACACAGTGGTTGTTGATAAGATTTGACTTGCAGTCCTTTCAAAATATAGGATGTGACTCTAAATTGTTCGACAGTCATGCGCCAAGTGCTTAAAAATATGGCTAAGTGCCACGATATGCAACCGCAAGAAGTAGAAATCAGAGGCAAACAGAACATACATATGACAGAGATGGCAAAACTATTCGGTCAAGCACACTATTCTCACTACCACAAATACCTCAATGCAGTGCATCTCAGGTCAAAAATCTCTGAATTTTGAGATCTGCGCTGGCAGGATAGGCGCTCTGGGCACTATCAAAGATTTGGAGCGAATGCGTTTCTGGTAACAGAATACTTAGTATGGTCGAATTTTGAATTGCCTTATAAAAAATGCAGTCCGTCATTTCTGTAATACATGTATACGTTTAGTATCTTCCATCATGACACCGTATTGGTTTCTCTGAGGGTAGCTCTTAATTTTCAGAACAGTAGTGTAATGTATAATTAAACCATAGCATGATACGCACTTCGTTACACCCACCCACACCAACGCATTGCACAAAACTAACGTGTCATATCAGGATAATACGCAGAGAAAAGCTCCACGAAAAATCACTGTGCCACTTGTTCGTCGTACATATTTCTACTAGCCCTCATAAGCATTTTCTGCTTCACCCAACTTGCTATTTGCAGTACTTATATCAGCGAGCCACTTAATATACCGTGTCCCTCAAGGCCAACAACCTCTAGACTATACGCGATGTAACAGCCGCGGCTGTTGCGACATATCGCTTTTACAGAGATCATTCTAGTCTCAAGTCAAACTTGCGCGATGGCTTCATTGTTTCTCGTCTACAAGACTTTTCATAAGAAAAGGGTATTTTTGCGCCTCTCCTCTACACGAAAGATCGCACTATCGATGTTGATTTTTATGGCGGGGATATTGCAAAAACGAAGGTCATCAATGAGCCGGACTAGATCAGCGAGCAGAGCTTGCTCGTATGCAGGCGCAAAAGTCAGAGCGACTTTTGTTGCAGTCGAATCGCGTTGCTTACTAGGATTTGATCCATCGGACTTCAGACTTCGCGACGATAAGTACTCAAACACCTAACGCTTCCATACACAAGCCCAAAAAAGCAAAGCACAATTGCTCTGAAAGCACATTTTGACCCGCGGATCATCATCATTTGCGCCAAAATTTGCGTGCAAAAGGGAAAATTCGCATGACCGAGTAAGTACTAGCCAAAGTGTCGAAGAGCAGAATATATGTCTGAATACTTTGTGCCTTTTAGCCAGTTGTGATGGAGGATAAAACTCTTAAGCGTCGTTTAATTTTGAATTTGCAAAGTTCAAATTCAAAGTGCGACATCGACGTTGTATTCAAAAATTGCTCTCTATTTTTCTCGCACGCATGCTGTTAATAATGCCCTGACAGTATCTATTAAACAAGGTCGCGCTTTGCTTGCTAGCGGAAAGCGCGTCGCGCTGCACAATCCTGTCCGGTCTGCTGGAGCACTCAAGACAACTAATGCGCCAAGTCGTATGCGGTAACCACGCCAGACCATTGTAGCTGCATTGGGACTTTGAGACTCCATGAATTTCACAATGAAGGCACCAATTGCATTTAATCATATTTTAACTAAAATTTTAATACACCGGTTCCCTCTACATGGAAGTGGCTACCCTTGCTTTTCGAATGGTGTCGAGCGAAATCAAGCCAGGACCCCTTATCTTCTTGTTAATGGCGGCATTGATTTGGTTCTAGTGGCCGATAATGACACTGATCGTATTTTGATGTTTTCTAAGCTATGAAGTTAAACGAATTGAGTTGCATTCTAAGCCATTTAACACCGGTCAGCTGCTTTGAAGCAGAAGATAATTCGGTTGTTGAAACGTCAATTCGTCTTATAAATTATTTCACATCGAAATGAATGGTAAGAGGTGCGTCGTGATAGGGCTCATGAAATCCTTTGTCGAGCACGGGATGTGGTCGCTTAATTTTTAAGATACTAAGAGTGTAAATCAAATATCTCTCTCGCTGTTAAGATAGAATGTCACCTAATCTTCTGTACTGCACACTTTTTTTCTGTGCACGTCGACTAATAGAGTAGGATGAAACCATTCACTTTACCATTGGTGTATATCGTTCGTCTGTACCCTCTGCATGTTGCTTTTACGCGTCCGGTAATCAATCGTGGCGTGGGGTAATCAACACATGATGCTCCATCTCTCAAAGATGGGATCTTGGCAAGGTCCAGCTGCGTTAATATCTGCAAGTAACGTTGTTAAACATATCATCGATGAGCGGAGCCAGCATCGCGGTCGTTTCGCGAAAGTACATTGGAGGTTATCCCTTACCACGCGATGAAAGCTTTTTTCACTATTGGTCTCTGGACTGACAGTACAGCTCATGGTCAATCTGGTGTAAAACACCTTCAGCAAAGTTTGCCTCACTTTTGCTGTAAATTGCGGATCTCGAATCGAAACTAGTGAAGAACGTTATTCACGCCATACCAATCCCCAATCACTGCGGCCTTGATAGTAACGAGTTGCTCAGACGGTTTACAAAACCATAATTGACTTATTATTAAACAATATTTTTGTATCATCACATTATGTTTAAGCCGGCAAACTGCCAAATGGAGCTAAGGCACTGTACACGCCGAATTGATGCACGCGTGCTTACCAAGTCATATATTAAGCCGCCAGTACATAGCGTTCGCCGAGCCGTACGCTTTAATCGTACAGAAGTGACCCCCTACAAAGGTATCTTGTACCTCGTACTTCATTTGTACTTAGGCTCTAATGTTGAAATTCTGCCACACGGTGCGTGTTGAGTGGTTTAAGGTTTGACAAGTACCAGTATGAAGAATATCAATACAAATGCACTACCAAACTCATTGATCGTGCAACATTTTTCCGATCAAATTCGCCTAGCAATTTAAATGTGCTGCCAAGATTAGATGTGCCTTGTACACCGAGAAGCTATGAATCAGACATTTCGCGTCGACATAGCAAAAAGCAACTAAGCTTATATGCTTTCCTCAGGAGCAGAAGCAGGGCCTCAATCATTAAATTTCTTGTCCTGCTATCCTGAGCGTACAATAACTACGTTAATACTGATATTAGATGTAAGTTAGTTTCTGCCATAAATGTAATTGTCGCCATCATTGCTATTATGCAGCAAAGAGTCATGTGTACTTCGACACACTTCTTCACGAAATGAATACCCAGTGTTCAATTGAAACTTGGTAGATGACTAAGTTCATCTTCAAGTTCCAAGATAGCTAAACTCGGAGAATTTGACATCGTTATTTAATCACTTGCCAACTAATAGCGGCACCTTTGAGTACTTATCGTGATAATGATACTATACAATCTAACGGTTGATCGACCAAATTAACAAAGGAACTCATTATTATCTCGTCTAAAAAGCATATTATAGTATGGAGTTACACGGTAAACGCAATCTAATGATTTGATGCTTACTTAGCTTTACCATTTCTAAGCAATTGCTGCTAACTTAGAACGGATACGATTTACGAAGGGCCGTGAAAAATCTCTTGTCGCTGAGGGGTGAATTGAAGTTGAGAGAGATCTTTTCATTTAACGAGACACGAGCCTCATCCGTCAAGTTGTTCCACATTACCAAGTCCTGGAACTCTCCCATATTCTTTGTAGCAGTCAAATAGTGATGAGTAACACCTAGCCAGGTGTATTCGAGCTTGAAATGATCGCTCTTCACATACTTGGTTGGAACGGGGGAGTACTTTTTGTAGCCAAATGTGGATTCGACTGTTGCCGCGAGGAATACTGGGTCTTCTGTTGAACCTCCGATCCACAGAATAGCATGCTCCCATCCATGACGATGACCGACATAGAATGGTGTGACCATGAAATCTCTTGGGAAGTACCATGCATACATTATAGCCAAATACCCCTTGAACACATAAGCACGACCATAAACTTGAGAACCTTCTGGCGAACCTGAGCAGTCAGTAAACCAATGCGAAACCCCAAGGCCATCACTGACGTAGCCATTTTTGTCCACGGCAGGGTATGGATGACAGCCGCTCTCAATACGAAGCATAGGTTGGAAATCTAAAGCGATCTCATTGATGCGGCAATCACGTTTCGCAACAGGGAACGGCTTAATCTTGTCGTACTGAAACTTGTTGATCACAGGGTGCACTCCGTCGTCGGCATTTGCCAAATTGAAAAAAGCAATTGCACAAAAGACAGCCAAGAACATCCTTAATAGGGAAATGCAGAAGAATTGACAATGAGTAATTGACAAAGTTATTTATTCTAGCACTGATGTTGAGATTCGGTTCCGTACTGGTCGGACCAGGTATCTCACAAAAATATGCCCGGTGTCAGTCGCGAAGTTTTGAAAAACACCTGGCACGGCAAGGATTCAGAACTAAGCAGCCTTGAGACCTATTGTGCCAGATTCAGAATCCCAGGTTGTAATAATTCCGCAGTAATGATTACTTATCAAAGCTGAGGCAAGTTACAAAATATTGAAGAAGCGTAGATCATACGAAAGCTCAACACGACTTAAGTAACAGCATTAGCTCAGTAGCAACGTTAAATTTACATGAATTGATCTTACGATCATCAAGTCAGCTCACAAAATCATGTCTTATGCAAAGTTTGATATCATACTCGTGAAAATTGAGCCAGAAATCTAAAGGAGTCTAAGCAATCCTATCAAATGTATAATCTTTGGAGCTATACATTAGGATTTAATATTATAACATATATTTCTTAAGGCAAATCGCTGAACTGTATGGTACTCCGTGCAATGGGCAGAGTCAGTTTGAGGTTGCAATACCAAGATTTATACAAGTATCAATTACTTCCAAACACCACCCGAAATGTTCGGTTGGTCCCAACCCTGTCCGGCTGTTTAAATACCCAATTTGGCTGCTCTTATGATGTACTAGTTCTGTGTAAATCTAGAATTGAGTCTCTGCTTTATAAATTTGCACATTTTTATTCAACATTGCGTCAGTGAGTTCAACTTAATATATGGCTTGCTTCGTCTTACTTGCGTCAGCTTCAATTCTTAACGCGTTGTTGATCACTCGCTCTCCCACTTCGCACCACAATCCGGTTCGTCTGGTCCTGTCTTTGTGAATCAGTACCCAAGCGCATGCTTATAAGATATAATACATGTATATCGTGTTCTTGAATTGATATCGGATGTCATTGTCATGTTTAACAACTCTTTTGATGATATCAAAATCTGATCGTGAATATATCATGAGCACGTTGAGCCACAACTTCATGATATATCTTGATGTGAAAAGCATACATTTGTCATAAATGTTTCGCACAGCGCAATGCTCGTCTATGCCCGAGATATTTGATCATGCGAGCTGGGACACTAGGCGTTTTTCGATTTCTATAAAGGAGTACATGCATATGGCACGTATTGGCTCTTTATTCATCCAAGGGTAAGCTTTAGTGCTAGAAACGCGATTCTGTAAAACAAGAACATAAATTTTGTCGTTGCTTAAGTTTTTTTAGCGTCTGTTATAAAAATGTGATCTCAACATGGCGGGTACGTTCTCTGTTGTGGTGTATGACACATTATGGGAGGTACCAGAGAACTGGCTGGCACCGATGACGACGATGTGTCTCAGTAATGGAGAAGTTCGTGGGATACAGCAGAGTATATATTTATATTTAAATCTATATCTATATCTGCATGTATCTCGAAGAAAATTGCACAGACAGTTTTGAAGTCCTTCTGCCGCACATCATAATAATCTGGCATTTTTTTTAACAGATCGGTGGGGGTCGTGGTATGTCGACATTGCATTCACTCAACCTGTGCAAGTAGTTTGACGGGTCAAGCGACGTTGTCAAGTACCTTTGAGATGTTGGCACTGGCTAATATAGAAT